ATGCATTCGAATCCTCAAATCTCTGGAATCTTCAAAAACATTTTACATTCAAAATATCAAATCTTAAGAGCTTTCTTTATCATTTGAATCCTATCCTAAGAAATCACTGGACATTTTAACTTAAAACTTTGGAATGACTAGTTTTACTGATGCTCAATGTAGAATTTACTAAAAAAATAATGTGTGTGCTTTCAGGGATATTGGAATCGTCAATATCACTCATGACAGCCCCGGATGCTCTATTTATTGCTCTACACTATTTCAGTGTGGCATGCAAGTTGCCAGAATTTTTGTGTACACTGAGCATCACTGAAATTTCTTGAATCTGTATCTTGAATTATCCCGATAATTCTGGACATAGATAAACTATTGCTAGAAAGTCTAACAGTATATGCCGGGTTATATTAATGCTTCATCGAGGACATATTTCCAACTGTCTATCTCCAGCCATGGCTGTTGAATTTAAAGCTGTTTTTCACATACAAAGGTAAACCAAAACTCAGAGTACAGACAGAATGTGACTACCATAATGCATTATTTTCACAAATACAGATATAACATGAATATTAACTCTATATATTTCTACGGATGCGTATATATGTTCGATGCGGAGGCCTTTTGTGACACGGCAGACATTTACATGATACATGATATATATACATGATAGTTTAGCTACTGAGTTCTTGCCAAACAAATGTATGGCTGTACCCTATTCTAACCTTGAACCCATAAAGGCAGTCAAACAGTTTAGCATCTTATCTTAATTTCTAAGTAAAATAACTCGGAAGAAAGTTTAAAATAAATATTTCTTTTTTATTATTATTTTATTCTCAACCTAATTGTTACACAACCAATATATGGGAGATTAATCTGAAAGGGAGTTTAAAATTGAATGTTTCAAAATGGAGTCTAAAGGCATATGAGGGTACTGTGACTTTAGAAATTGAAGGATGACTTAAAAACTAAACGTTTATAAGGATAAACTATAACAAAATTTCACATTATTGCATGAATTTGTAGTGATGAGGCAATGGATCATAGTACAATTTTGCATTGGGCTACTAAGCTTTTGTGAAAGCCAGCCAGATGCACATGATTATCGAAAATAAGGAAGACAAAAAATATCTAGATATTAAAGTGATTTCACCAGTATCAGTATGCTGTATTTTGATAGAAACTTTGCAGAAAAGACAAGTTAATGTTCAGTTAATTCTTCATTGCTTGATGAAACATTATTCAATATGAAAATTTGACGATGAAGGTGAAAGATTTCTACTGGAATAACAGCAATTGATAAAACGTGAATTAAAAATTTTAACCAGAATTGAAATTGTGTTAATCCAGTGATTTTTCTTGCAACCCCAAATACATGAGCAAGCATAACCATTGGTGAAATAAATTATAATGACTACATAGGATTACCAAGGAATGATTATGAAAGGTAGAGTGTTATGTGAGAAAGTGTTCACTACAGCACATTACTGAGACTGTTTGCAAAAAATGTGAAGGAACTGCATAAAAATCATCAGACTTGCTTAAAGATGGAGAATTAATTTTCAAAAATATTTCCAGAAAATTCAGCAAGCCTCCTAATTAAGGAGAAATGGGAAGATTTACCTCACCAACCATAAAGTCCTAAGATTTAAAATTCTTCCCTAAATCAAAAGTAGTCCAGCATGGACTTCAGGGCAAAAGATGTTTCTTCAGCAGTTACTCAAGCCAGCACCCTACAATGAATAGCAAATCTTCCAAGCGAATTCCAACTGTTGTGAAGAATGGGATCACACAGAAGTAATGCAAGTGGAAACTGAAATAAAACTGACACGAGAGAAAAAATGTTAGAGAGCATTACTTTAACTTAATGTTTGTACATTCTGACAGCCATGATCTGCTAAAGCAGGGCTGTGGAGTCAGTAGGGAAAATGACCGACTCAGACTCCTGGAATTTTAAAGATTCTGACTCTTGACTCTGATTCCCTCATATACAAGGACCGGCTATTAAATTCGAGGACTGACGTAACTGTAGGAGGACGAAAAGTCAGAAGATGGCGCTAATGATTGCATATTGAAGAGCGTTTTCTTGCGCATGTGCAGTGCAATCGGCACCATTCTGAGGTAAGTGGTTCTCGTGGAAAGGCGCATTAAAACTTAGCTCTTAAATTCTGGAGGCATGTGACGAACTTATCGACAACGCTGATGCTGACCCTGCATTCCTGGATAGGATAGTCACGGGAGATGAGTCTAGGTGTTGTCAATACGACCCTGAAACCAAGCGTCAAAGCTCCGAATGGCGGTCTTTAAGTTCACCAAGGCAGAAAAAATTTCGATTTGAAAAGTCCAAAATCAAAGTCATGTTAATTGCTTTCTTCGATTGCGATGGACTCATTAATCATGAATTTCTTCCTCTTAACATGATTATCAATGGACGGTTCTATACAGAAGTTGTTGACCAACTTCAAAAACGAATTCATAGAGTGAGGCTTCATTTTCAACAAAATGGGAATTGGCTGCTGCTACATGACAATGCCTGCCCACACATTGCATTGCCTGTGAGGCGATTCTTAGTCCAGCATGGTGTCATTGAAATGCAGCATCCACCATACTCTCCAGACCTAGCACCCGCAGACTTTTTCCCTGTTTCCTGAAAAATTCGCTGAAGGGAACAAGATTTCAGGATGTCGAAGCCATCAAGAAAAATGTAATGTCGCTATTAAAGAGCATTCCAAAAGAGGACTTTAAAACTTCTTTCCGAAATTTGTACAGCCGAGCACGAGTCCTGGAAATTAATAGCCGGACCTTGTATATATGTAAACATATACACATGGGTTACAGCTTATTTTTTTAATATAAAAGAAGAAATTGATACTACATAAAAAAATTGATGGCATAGCAAATTATTTATATTATTTAGCATTTACAATAAAATGGAAAAACTGGCATTAATTATTTCTAAGAACAGTATAACTTTAGCAAGATCTTCTTTGTTGGAGGGCCATAGATCTGATTTGATAAACTTCAGAACTGAGAAGAGTCTTTCCACACTAACTTGAGTAGGAGGAATAGCTGTTACTGATAGGGCTACTTTTAACTTTTCAGGATAGATTTTTTTATAAGTTCTAAAAGAGGTGTCTTGCAAGCACAATCATATTTCTCCGAAGGACGTGTAGAAATCTTTTTAGTATTTTTTCATTTTTATATCTAAAGGCTCTTGGTTCTTTATTTTCATTCGCTTTGCCTTAGCATTTTCAATATTATTCAAAAACATTTCTCAAAATCTAATTCATCACTGGATAGAGACTCAATTGCAATGTCGTTTGACCGTCCTGATTCAAACTCTCCAATTGTTCTGAGAATAATTTCATTCTTAATGAAAGTTCATAGATGGCTTTCTTGGCCTTTTTAATTTGTTCGTCATCCAAGAAAATTCAGTGTTTTGGATCTACATATATTGAACTCAGCAAGATCTCATTGTCTAGCAAACTAGTTTCTCTTTTCTTCATTGAAGAAATGATTCCTTGTGCAATAAACTTTCCATTTCAGACAGAATAAACATCACATTCTTCCATTCTCACCTCCTGTAAATTCTTCAGATTGCAGCTTTTTTGTGGCTATATCCTTATCGCGTTGCTTGATCAATAATTATTACTTTTCCTGCTCGCTTCCTAAGAATCGCATCACTTTTGTGAGTTCTAGCTCTTATTGCTGCTAACCTAAATTTACCTGTGAGATTTGTAACTAAATGAATCAATTTAATCACTAATGGCAAATATCATATCCATCCTCCTCCCTTATATTTATTTATTAATACGTCAATAAAATAGAAAATAACTATTTTTAAATGTATATTGCCCATAAATAAAAATAATAACTCAGCTTGTCATTAATTTTTCTTCAATTCATTCTAATTTCATTTCAAATTCAAACTGTCCAACAAAAACTGGAGTCGGAGTTGACCTGTTTTAAGCGACTCTAGCTCCGACTCCTTTTACCCCCAAATCTGCCCAACTCTTAAATGTAACGTCGCCAGAAAAGGAATAATTTGAAAATTTGTTTGTTCATCTGATAACAAGCTTGGAGTGGACAATTTGAAATAAATTATTACACAAGAAATGTTTCATTGTACGACTTCTATTTCAAATTTCTTTTATATTAAAAAAATAAACTGCTGTTTATTATAAATAAGTTGCTTTTCAGAGGGTAAAGGGCCTAAGTAGCTATATAAACTGACATTTCCAATAAAAAATGAATTTTTATTTAAAGCACCAGCACATATTTGTGCTATATATTTTTCATATATTCTAAGCAGAGCTGAACTTGTCAGTTTTAATCCCTAAAGCAAATCTCAAAATTTACCTTTTAAATACTTTTTTTTGACATTTTTACAGTGACATTTAATTCATTACTTTTTTTTTACCTGAAGCAAGAGCTTCATTTGCTACATACAACTCAATGAATTGCAACATCGTTAGTCCTAAATAGATATTTAAGCTAAAAAATATTACAGTTAAAAATGTAGAATTCTTTTAAATAACATACCTTAAAATAACAAAGAAAAACAATTTTGCATTTCAATAACTTACATCCCTGTCATTTATTTATTTCAAAATTTATATATGGACACATTCATATACATATAAGAAAAAATCAATACCATCTTTAACTCAGTTTTGTTTTATGAAAATTTTAAATACTTAAGCAATATCTCTGTGTATTTCAAAAAGATACTTTGGCTCAAAGAATAATGATGACTGAATTTAAAAAAGTGCTGTGTTTGCATGCAGAAGGGGGGGGAAGAAGAAAGAAAGAAAAAGAAAGGAAAAACAAATGAATATAACTTAACAAATTTTTTTAAAACTTTATTACTATACAATTTTGGCAACATTTTAAAAGCAGACACATTTGAACATAATTACAACTACATAACACATAAGGAAATAAATATATACAAAATAAATGGTGTTAAGTTTTTTTCATCGATTCCAGGCAGTACAAATACTCACTTTTTATCAGAATTACTGTTCACAGAAATTTGAGAACTGGATGAACTAACACCTGAGCTTCCTTTCAATCCTCTAAAAAGGAAATTCCTGAAGCTAAAATCTTCACTCTCAAATACATGCACAAAACAAATGTAATAAAATATTTCATAGTCAGGATATAAAAAGAAAAATTTATGATTTAAAATTAACACTTTTCCGGCATGCTACCTTTTAAAGGTAATGAAAAAAAAAAGGCAGTCCATTCAGGCCTACAGAAGTACACAGGTAAAAAGCAGAATTAAAATGGTAAGATAGCACTTACCATTTTAATTCTGTGGGTATGCCTGAAACGAGCCCACTGAATGAATACAGCTTCGAAAAGAGCGCTGAAGCGAGCATTGCTGGAAAGTGCATAATAGAGTAAAAGATTTTTTCTACGATTAAAAAACACCAGATTCTGATTACCATAGCAGATTTAGCATTATCCAGGGTGTACCACACGGAAGCCAGCTACTCTACGGACCCCCTAAAAAAAGCTCTTCTTGGTTGTATGATGACTACATGCATATAAATGAGAAAAAAATAACTTGGCTATATATTTTCCCTTTCGTTCTCCCCCTTCCCCATGGTACTTCTCGAAGCAAAAGAACCACCTTTAAAAAAGCACAATCCAACATTGTATGTTTTGCACATGTACTGGGATCCATATCAGATTCACTATCTGAAGGCAATTCATTTAGCACTTTACGCGCTTTAGAAAAGGTCAGCACTTTTTAATCCATTTAAAAAATATATAAATAAACTAGCATTATATCTACAATTAAGAACATATAAACCATAAAATTAACAATACACACAATTTAATATAATTAATGAAGATAATATATAAATTGTTCATATTAATCAGTAACATGCACAAAATATCTTGGCAGCCAAAAGCATTAGAAACTAGTAGAATCAGTTTAATCATTTAAATATAACTTTACATACATATATAATATATATAAATATTAAAGTTGGATGATCCACTCCGGAACTTATTCAAAGAATCGATTCACTTTACTGAAGAAATTTACTCCGATTCCAAAAAACAGTAGTAGCTCTTTTGATTTGAACAACTGATTCTTGTCACTGAATTTGGCAAGAAACCGCTAAAAGTTGCCAAGTTTGGTGACATGTTGGCCCAGTCCCTGTATAGAAGTAATGGATATTGACATTTTGATCTAGTCCCTGTATAACAGTAATTGATATTGTAATTGATGTTCTATGTGGCAGTAACTGTAATTCTGCTCTTATGTGCCTTCCAATAATTTCAAGAAGCAGAAAGTACAAGAAATATTTTGGAAGCCAGCTGAAAACTATACAAGACCAGACAGAGAGCATCTGTTCTCAGTTACTAGTTCAATGCGAGTTCGGAGTACTGACAGATTTCCTGGTTAGCTTTGCTCTAATGTTCTTAGTAGTTTGAAGTGTAACTAATAATTGCACTTTGTGATACTGTGCACTGCATTTAACGTTCTTAGTAGACTGAAGTGTAACTATTAATTGCACTCTCTGATACCGTGAAGATGTGTTTTGGCTTCAAAAAGAAAGAATGAAGCATATTGTTGGTTTGGTTAATTGAGATTACGGCAAAGCACAATAGGGCTATCTGCCTAAGGAGAGGGATGCCTTCGTGGAGGACTTTCTAACGGAAACTGGCTCGTAAACACGTTACACATGAGGAAAACCACAAAAACGACCATGCAGCCAGCCCGTTCGTGGGATTCGAACCTCGGATCGAACTATCAATGTTCAGCGACTTTACCACTCAGCCACTGGTGGGCGAAGCATATTGTAAAATGCTGAGCAAAAGGCATTCAAGGAATGCTGCGACAGCATATAAAAATGCTTGGAAAGAAAGAAAAAGAATCATAAAACGCAGAAGAGGAATTTCTTCCAAGATCTTTTAAAAAATGTTGAACATTTCAGGGATTCATTGGATCTTCATTGGGTGAAAAATCTTTCTTTCAAAAAATAAACCTCATACATAAAGAACTGAAACCAAGAAGCTCCTCATGTCATAATAAGGAGGGATTTATTCTGAGAGATAGAACGGCGGTGCTGAAGAGATTGTGGTGAACATTTCAATGGCTTGCTTAATTGTGATAATGGAGAAGAATATAAAGCTCTAATGGAAAGCTTACTAATCTACAGCCAAGAAGAGGTTGCTTGACCCTCACTGGAAAAAGTTGTTGAAGGTATTAACAAACTAAAAGAAAATAAAGCATCTGGTCCTTATGCTATTCTGGCCGAGTTACTGAAAAATAATGGAACAGAAGTTACTAAAAAATTATATGGTCTAATACAGGCAATATGGGATCAGGAAATGAAACTCGAAGAATAGAAATTGAGTAATACACAAGATAGGAGATATGCTTAAATGTTCTAATTACAGAGGAATCAGCCTGCTTTTTATAAGTTATAATGTATTCTCAAACATTCTATTCAACAGACTGTCTATACATTTGGAAAAAACAATTGGAGACTATCCAAGCAGCTTTAGAAAGGGAATCTCTATTATAGAGCAAATATTCCACATTCGACAGATCATGGAGAAGATAAAAGAATTTGGAATCGATATTCACCATCTCATTATTAATTTCAAAACTGCCTATGTAATTATTAATAGAAAAGCTCTCATTGCAGCCTTAAGGGGGTTTAAAATACCCGAAAAGTTATTAAAGCTTTCACTTGATACTAGATGAAACTAAAGTTATGGTAAAAATACAGAATGAACTATCAAGGCTAACTAAAATTAAAAATGGTGTTTGACAGGGCATATCTTCTCTTCACTCTTCAATCTGGCACTAGAAAAAGTAATAAGAGCTTCAAACATCAATACCAGAACTTTAAATTTGATTTCTACACACACTATTTCCACAAAAACACTTACCATATACAAATTAAATTACTTTGGAAGGATTTTGAACCCTGGAATATGCAATTTGACTTTGCATCCAAATTTCAGAAGCTCATAGCTTGTCAACCGTTCGGCCTAGGGCAAAACTGCGAAAGACCATTTTTGTAGGAAATTTTCTCAGCTTCAATTTTGTATCTAAAGTGTTTTTCTATAGGAGTGATAGTTTCTGAAATATATGCAAAAAACTGAAAAAAGGGACCTTTAAATCCATCATCCCCCTACCCCTGAGGACTTCTTACACACATTAACTAAGTCTAAAGGAAGCGTTTAAGACCATTTCCAGAAGACTACGATTTTTTTCATCAATTTGTCTAATTTGACTGGGCTACATTGTGGACCAGCATTTCAGTATTCTATGCAATCAAAATTCTTGTTCTGCATTACAGGTTTAACCCTCTATGTCCTACACCATCAATAATGCAAAACACCTTTTTATTACATATACAGTGGTGGCTAAAATTGTGGACACTTTTGGAAATTTTAATGTTTTTGAACTTTGTATGCTTATAGAAAACGTTACGTTTCACAAAATACAAACTTGTATATATCATTTTAAAGAGAATTTATTACTGAATTCAATACAAAACACAAAATTCAATTATTTGCAATACAAAGAAAGTTAAACGATAATAGTTATAGATATACATCAGATAGTGATGATTGCAGCGAGTTATCAGTACTTAGTAGGGTACCCTTTATTTTTGATAACAGCTTCACATCGACATTTCATTGAGCTGACAAGAGTTTTAAGCTCTTCTTTCATTATTACACGATGCCAGGAAACAATTATAGCCTCAATTAGTTCCCTTTTACTTGATGGGTGCCTCATTCGGACAAGAGTTTTCAAATGGTGCCACAAATTTTCGATAGGATTGAGGTCAGGACTGTTTCCTGGCAATGACAACAATTTAATGCTCTTTGTTCGAAACCACTCTTTCGATATTTTGGCCATGTGGCAAGGAGCAGAATCTTGCTGAAAAATAAATGAAGCATTGTTGGGAAAGAGATCTCTGATGGAAGGTAGAAGTTTTGGTTCTAGAATAGTGTCAATGTATTTTCTGGCATTCAGTGTCCCATCGATGACCATGAAGGCGACCAATACCATCTGCTGACATGCATGACCAAATCATAACACTAACTGTGTTCTTCATAGTTGCTTGAATGCAGTCAGGATGTAGCTCTTCTTCTATTCTACATCTTACTTATTTTCGCCCATCACTACCGAATAATGATATCTTAGTTTCATCACTCCATATAACTTGTGACCACTGATCGTCTGTCCAATTAATGTGTTCCTTTGCCCACTGTAGTCTTTCGTTGCTGAAAATTAAGATAAGGCTTTTTTTCGTGGAATTCTACCTCTCAGTCCAACATCTGTTAATCTTCTCCTGATTGTTCTTGAACTGACAGAAACACCAGCATCATTCAGATCACTTCTGATGGTCACTGACGACATTTTTCTATCTTGGAGACATAGTCTTTTTATTCTTCTGTCATCAATAGATGCGGTGCATCTTTTTCGGCCTTCTTTTGTTTTTTATTGAATTTGTCTCCTGATATCGTAAACAAAACTTTCGGACTCCAGATGTAGTCACTGAACCACCCACTTGTCTTGCAATTTCAGCATAGGAAAGACCACTTTCTCGTAACACAACAATATTACATCTCTTTCTAGGTCTACAATCTACTCTTTTATTTGATGTCATTGCTTCTTGACTAAATATTAAAAGTTTTTAGAAAAATTCCTACTTGTAATTGCAGTGTATAAGAAACAGGTCCTCCTTCTACAAAACAAAGCAAAATAATGAATTGTTTCAAGTGTAAACATGATGTCAGCTTCTACTGGCAGTTACTAACATTTGATTGGTTCTCAGAACAAGAACAGTGATTGGCCAGGAAAGTTAGACATTACAAACCACTTCATAACTGTGTTTTTTAATTTATATTAAAGTACATATAACTTTTTTGTATTGCAAATAATTGAATTTTGTGTTTTGTAATGAATTCAGTAATAAATTCTCTTTAAAATGATATATACAAGTTTGCATTTTGCAAAACGTAACATTTTCTATAAGCATACAAATTCAAAAACACAAAAATTTCCAAAAGTGTCCACAATTTTGGCCACCACTGTATGTCTGTGTGTGTGTACCTACGCCTTTATTTTCACAATTGTTGGTTGTACTTCTAATTAAGAAGTGTTTTAAATGATGAAAATATTTATGTTTTGGCAACATCAAATTAAAAAAAGAATTTGTCAAATTATGTTTAATGTGGTCTCCCAGTATCCATACTTGGGAGAGTTTTATACTCATTATGAAAAAATAACATTAGAAAACATTTGATTACCCCATACAATAAAAATTGACCCTAATATTTAATTTTAAAACTTGCAATTTTTTTGTCATTTTCAATTTGCTTTGAGAAGTTGGTTAATTAAATTAGAATATCTCAATGAAATAAGTTTAAATGAAGTGCAGCCCACATCAGATTTTTTTCCTTAGTTTCTTTTACATGCTTGTTGGACTGTTGTTATTACATGCATAACATAGGTAACATATGTGTCTATGTGCCAACTGTAGCTTTGAACTCAAATGGAATGTAATGACAGCTAAATTTTTTTATTCTAATAAACACTTCTTTGCAATCAACTTTATAGTGAATTTATGCTACAGAGTGTCCCACTTGCAAGAAGCCCTAGAAACTTATGTGTACAGGTAAATGAGGAGAAAATGAAGCGAAATCTGAACATGACATACCAGCATGTACCAGAAGTGAAAGTAAATTACAAGAGGTGCTGGAAAGGACTTCTCCCAAATTCTAAACACAGTATGACAGCAACAGAAGCTGCAAATTTGTGAATGTGGCTGCCAGAACCTTGGATTGTAAGTTTGGGTGTTACTGCACGGATTTCATGGCAGATGTTCTACTGTAACTTATCGAGAATGTATGGTTTATCCATGTAAAACCTTTCCTTACACAAGAGGAAAAAGTGAGGTGGGACAAAATTGGTGACTGCTTCTGTTTCACTGAAACATGAATGCCAAAAACAACAACTTGCAAACTTGTGTGTTGGCATATTTCCTCACTGTTTACGGATTACAGTGCTGCCACATCAATTTCTCATGTGATAGATTGGCTTCTATCCAAATTTGATTGCATTTGGCAAACTATTTACGTGATGAAATGACAGCTTCTACAGCCTATTTTGAGTCAGATACCCTGTATTATTTAAATTTCTTAGCACAGTATTAACAACAAATACATAATTCAAGTGTATTTGTGGGCCATATAAAATTGCTTTGGAGCTACATGCAGCTCACAGGCCACCAGTTTGAGACCACTGACTTTTAAATCACTCAGACACTGGAAGGGCTCCTTTTTTACAATATGATGGAGAAATTCATGTTTCAGAATATCATTTTCCTCAAAACTAAATTGTTCATTAGAAAGCAGTAAAAACCAAAGTTAACTGGATTTAGTAAAAATCAAGGTTTTCACTAAATTCTGATAACATAACCTTCAAATAATATCAAAGTGAAACATTTCGTGAAAAACTCATGTACTTCTCCAGATTAAACATTGCATTATGTTGCTAAAAAATTCCTTTATATCATAATGATATATTAAATTTCATAATAGTTACAAAAATTGTAAACTATATTTTTGATAAGATGATTTGAATGTGATTACCACTGAAAAGCAGGTTACAGAAAATGACTTACAGCTTGAATGTTTGCAAAATATTTTCTTTACAATAATGTGAATAAAATAAAGGAAATTTTTATTTAAATAAAAGAACATAAAATTGTTTGAAGACGATCATGAAACCAACTTTTTAAAGGTTGTTGCCATTTGAAGATAATTAAAATGGTTAAGGCTTCATTTATAGAAAAAATTACTTAATTCAGCAGAAACAGAAATTGTATTCGGTTTATGTAAAGAAACTTACAAATATCTAGTCAAATCTTCAATATCCACAAGCATAGAGTCCTGCTCCATGTGCAAATCATCTCTTTCTAATAGAAATTTCACCAAATCTTCATTTAGAGCTGAAATATATACAGAAGTATGAAAAAAAAAAGTATTAAATACAATGAATCTAACAGTGAGAAAGATCAAATGATCGATTTGTATACTATTCTATACAAGTCTTTTTATTAAATCATAGAATGCTTCAATTCCAAAATTATTTCTGTTTATATCAAAAGAAGTTAGCTTTTATGATGACAGGATCAATTTCAAATCTTTGATTGACATTTATGGCTGTCGTTCTGAGGAATGAAGGTATTTAAAATTCATGTATCTGGAAATCTTCCATACAGGCTGAAAGGAAGAACGAAATATTGCATTTAAAATATTCTTGATCAAATATAAGATTGAGCTGAACGAAGTCATACACTGACTACAGATTCTGAAAGTAAAAGCTCAACAACAAGTATTAAAGAAGAATTGTGAGAGTATTTTCCACCTTTCTTTGAATAATTTTCAATCAATTTATGACTTAATTCAACAATTGCTTCCCAACATTTTTGGCATCCTGGCTAACTTTTAAAACTATAATTTAGCACAATCCATATGTATGTAGCAATTTTTAGGAAGAGGAAAAGAAAATTCCACTACCTAATTAAATAATAATAAGCAAATATAAATATTAAAATTAATATACAATAGATCAGTTATTTCAACACAATGCAAATTTTTGCAAATAATTTTACTAATTTTAAGGTTATTTTCTATGATTTCCTGAGCACAAAATTTTTCAACAGATCTATATGAAAAGAAATGCAAATTTAAAAAAAAAAAAAAAAAAAAAAAAAAAACAAAAAAAAAAAAAAAAAAAAAAAAAGATTTTTTAAGAAATTACCTTTACGTTGGAATAAATTTGAAATAAAACATCCTTCAATTTTAAAGGTGAACTCAGATCTTTTCCTGTACTAGTGAAATTAGAAAAGTTACAAATATTTACATAGACAAGATCACTTATTTCTTACATCTTGGAGTGTAAAAATAGGTGAGTAAAACAAATGAGGCTATCTCTCCAAGAAGGGATATCTTCAAAAACTTTCTAAGGAAAACTAATTCTCATTACATATACTGAAAAATTAAATAAATCTTTATGCAAGTAACCTGTTTAGTCTTTAGGAACAGAAATCAGTACTTTAAGTAATGCTATACATTTTTCATACTATATTGCTGCACTCTGGCTTACTTCTTTTCCCATACCTTTTGACTGATGCTAGACAAAATAAAACAATCGGAACAGCAACAAGGAAACATTCTCGAATTTCACAACAAAATTCTCCAAGACCCACAATATGGAAGAAAAATGGCCTGTATTATTTTTTCCCCTTGTGAGTAAATTTTTATCAGTTTTCACAATACTATTTTATCTACCGATTTTAAATTTAGAAAGAGATAATACACAACTGACATGCCTATCTCTAATTATTCCTATCACAACATAAAATGTTCAATTCATTTGAATCACATATGCGTATTCTGTAAAACTCAATAGATATTAATTTATCATACCCTAAGTAAATGAAGCACAGCGGTAAAAAAAAGAATGCACGATTCAGCAAACCACACTTTTGTGTCTCGAAACTTTTTCTTCTTCTCAGTATAACTGCACAGCTGGAATTGAATGAATAGCATTTTAATTCTGTGGCATGAGTATTTGAATGAATCTTTTTTTGCATAGAATTTCTCTTAAAGAAACAAGATAGCTGCTTGTTCATGTCTTGGCAAATGTCAAGTTGTGAAACACATGCATTAAAAAAATTACTAACAATTATGATGATAACATGAAAAACATGATTACACAAGCAACAATTATAAAGGCAATTACTGCGAGGAACGGGAAAAAAAAAAAAAAAAAACTGCCACCAGATATTTTTTTTTTAACTGCTTTAACAGAAAAATATCCAGAAATCAAAACAAACAACCAATTCTTGGTATTTATTATCCCATTAGTGGGTTTAAAAGATTTTTTATTATCATTATCCACAAGTTATAATATAAAAAATTTATGAATTTATGGAATACATTCTTACTGAAAATAATGTCTTATTTCACTTACTTTCAATTTGAGAATGTAGATCATTTACAATAACTTGCAGCTGGGCAACATTCATGGCTACCAGAGCATGATGCGTTAAAAGGTTTTTACCATCTGGAAAAGGAAGACCAACCTGCACAGTAGTAGTAATAATTAATATACAGAATGCAAAAATTTTCAGTTAATTAAAAAATTTAGCATGCAATATTAAAAATGAGTACAAATAATGTATCACATGGTTCAGTAATATACAGTCAAAAGTCGTTAATTTGGACACCCATAATCCAGAATGATCAATCCAGACCTCAAAGCTAAAAACTTTCAGCGCATGCGCCACGTTGACACATGTGCGCATAGGCATTTACGCGTGCGCGTAAGACCTTTACGACTGCGCATATGCGTGTGGGCAAGCGCAGAATACGTTTTCGCGTGCATGTTTAATGTATAACGGACGGTATAAGCTAAAATTAATCTAATTATCTATTTCAGTTAATGTTGATGATAGCACTGTTCCTTAATCTTCGAATTGGATGCGGCTTATTATTTTTTGCAGACTGTAAGAGCAATTTTATAAAAGTGAACTTGAACTTTCAATTATGTCAAATAGAATTTCCGATGCTGGAGCTCCCAAAGGATCTACAAAACGAAAGTATGTTTCGATGTCCGTCAAACAAAAAATGGATAAAGACATGAAGAAGGTGACAGAGAGGTTAGTGAAAACGAAAAAATTTCGATTGACAAGTTAGTCGGTATTCTCTACACAGCAATTATAGGACTTGAACAGCGGAACTTTGTAACTGAACAAGAAATTATGTCTGTTTATAGAATTAAAGAAAAAGTATTATCACATAAAAAGAAGCAACTTAAACAACTTACATTGAAAGAAATGTTTAATAAAGTAAACAAATAAATATTAAGCCTTTTTTTTTTTTTTTTTATAAATTTTGATACTCTTTAGATCATAATTGTTCTTTATTTCATAAATTACGGTTTCATATTTTTAATTTTAGAACTTCTGCATGCCATCTTACGAGATTTAAACTGATGATCTATAATCCGGAAAAATTGATAATCCAGAATCGCCTGACGAGTCCGGATTAACGACTTTTGACTGTATTTTAATTCTGTATAGGACTAAATAAAAGCTCTACCTTACAACTAAATATTTAACACATTTTTCAAATTCTTTTTAACTGTAAAATTTGAAAATAATCCATAAGGCTGCATAACAATTTTTACTTGTCCATAATTAAGTAATACCACATAAATCATTTATTGATGTTTTCAGGATTATCAAGAATTTCCATATTTTTTCAAAAAATTTATAATACAGTAAAAGGTTTTAAATGCTTCTCCATATCAATTATTTGTATTTAATAGAAAATTATTCTCCATGAAATGGGGGTAATCAATCACTGATGTCTTAACCAGAGTTCCCCTTAAGCTGTGCGTATTTCTTAAAAAAATTTAATGCACAAAAAATACACATGAACACACCACTAATCAAAATAGTACAATTAGAAATTACATTTTTAACATTGCTTTTAAAATAAATCATTATATATGTTCATTGCATAATTCATTCTTATTTAAATACGTGCACTTGCATCGTACCATACAACTGTACTAAATTGTGCTAGCATGTCTGCATTGTCTCCTAATATGGTAAGTAAAGTGCTATGTTGTTCAGCAACTGGTATGCTGTCTACAAGTGTAGCAAAAAATATATATGTTAATGCATTTACTTTATGTTTATATATATATTTATATATAAACTATAGAGAACTTTCTACAAGAAGAAAAACTACAAGTGATTTTAAAATAAAATGGTTTAATAAAATAGCCGAAATGGCCATATCAAACAGTAAAAATAAATTATGAATTCTATTACAGGAAATAATTTTACAGGACAAATAAAATGCACTTAAATGTATTAACTGCTGGGATGGACATGGAAGTGATGATTTCGTTAACAGAAAAAAATGGAATTTTTAAAATGGCATTTAAATAAATCTCCTGTGGACAGTGTAATAGGGTCACCACTCAAACAGGAGAATGAAATTCCCTTACTTTTCCAGGATTTCCAGGCGTATTTTAAGAAAATTCCAGCCTAGCCACATAGTGCATGTTAGCTGTGCTGTGGGTAAATTAATCATGGTACCATTTGAAAACACAAAAATTTGATACATACTACTTAAATTACTTACTTTATGGTAAAAGAAAACAGACACCTTTTGAATTCACAAATCATTATAATTATATAACAGGTGTTGTTTGTTCTCAGTAATTTTCAAATTAAGTTTTTGCCAAACTCAGAAAACTTGCTGTACAATATACTAAATCAATATTCTCTTCAGCAACCAAATGCATCACAAAATGAATTAAGTCCAAATAGATTTGCCTTTTAATTACATGGAAAGCGTATATAATACCAGAAGTGACTGTTAGTGCATCTAAAATATTTTCAGTCATTGACAATGAAATACAGTTATAATAGAATGTCAGCACAAAGAAATATAATTAGTAAAAAGTATAATTTCAAAATAAGTTTTACATACATAACACCATACATTAAGAAACTAAATGGTACAACAGCCCTCAGTAAGCCACGGCCTGCAGCGCCCTGATATCTGCTTTCTTGACCATGGGCCCCAAAGTACATAAGCCTATACCCTGGACAAGAGGTCAGCTTGTCGCGGGACCCCCAAGAAAAAACATACATTAAGGAAAAAGAAAGAAAAGAAAGACTTCAGATTTTAAATTACATCCAAAGGGGTGTTTTTTTAACATTTTGTGTGTTACTTTCATCATGTTAAATAAATAAATTAAATACAGTCAAAAGTCGTTAATCCGGACTCGTCGGGACTTCGGCGATTCCGGATTATCGATTTTTCCGGATTATAGATCATCAGTTTAAATCTCATAAGATGGCATGCAGAAATTATAAAATTAAAAATATGAAACCATAATTTATGAAATAAAGAACAATTATGATCTAAAAGGTATCAATATTTAAAAAAAAAAAAAAAAGCTTAATATTTATTTGTTTGCTTTACTTTCTTTGCTATCGGAAGCGAATTATAATGACAAGGAATTTGATTTAAATCATATCAAAGACGGAGTACATGGAGATGAAATACTACATTTAGTAAGGAATTATAAGCCAAATAAAATAAAAACATCTGCCCTGAAGATAAGGATAGTGCTGACAGATCAACTTCCAATTCATTGTGCGCTGTGGTGTCCCCCTGCCGCAGCCGCAGAGCAGCGTGAAATTGATAAACAAATTTCGGAATGGTTAGATAAACAAAGGATATGCCTTTATCCATTTTTTGCAGCAATTCCACTTTTTTGTTTAATGGACTTCAAAACATACTTTCGCTTTGTAGATCCTTTACATATTAGTAAATATATATCGGAAATTCTATTTGACATAATCGAAAGTTCAAACTTACTTTTATAAAATTGCTCTAACAGTCTGCAAAAAATAATAAGCCGGATCCAATTCGAAGATTAAGGAACAACGCAATCTGCAACATTAACTGAATTAGATCATTTTAGCTTAGCTTATACCATCCGTTATACATTAAACGTGCAAGCGTAAACATCTTTTGGGCATGCGCACGTGCATATTCGCAGCCGTAAAGGTCTTACGCGCATGCATCAAGACGACGCATGCACAGAAAGTTTGTAGCTTTGAGGTCCGGATTATAGATCATTCCGGATTATGGGTGTCCGAATTAACGACTTTTGACTGTATCATGTTCTTTGCACTTAAACCATAAAATTCAGTTCAATAGCAGTGTCTCAAAATAATTTTAAAATGAGCATATCTTTAGAATTTACGATACACAGTTCTGCTCACTGGACATAGAAAGGTTTTTTTTCCGGTAAACTATTTTCAAGAACAAATTAAGTTTGTGAACCAAGATTCTGTTGTATGCTTTTATTGAATCATGAATAACTAGCTATACAATATCAGTTTTTCCCATATACATAGCAATCCACTAATGCAAATCAGAATACTCAAAATGTATTTTGGTACATGGCAGGTGATGGTTTATTGACTATCACCTCTCATGTGGTAGGTTTGTTTCCCATCTATAAATGTTATATTGTTTGAAATTAAAAAAAAAAAAAAAAAAATAAAATTAAAAAAAAAAAAAAATGTGTAGAGGCACACAAAAAAAAGCACTCTTAAAAATAATATAGCATAAAATGATCAAGAAAATAGAGAAGAAAAAATGAACTAATTACATGAGGACATGAAAATCAGCCATGACAAATGATTGTGATGATAAAAGACCTCGTGCCAAAAGTTCAGACAATAACAGTGTTTAATTGATCGAGATACTTTATGAATTCCTACCATAGCTGCCAACTTTGAAATATTCAAAACAGAGAAAACTGGAAGGTTTTCATGTTGTGCAGTGACACCCTGTCAAAGGAACTCCAAACTGGCTTTAACTCACTTTATAACGCATAGTTCAGGTAGGAACTATCTCTACATATAATAAAACAAAGAGTCTGTCTCTGTAGGTGTGTCTTTTGTTCACACAGCGCGTAAGCTAACAGACCCATGGCTACGAAATTTGGTACATAGGTGCATCTAGATAAGAGACAGTGCATCTCGAAGCGATTTTTTCGAAATTCGAATTACAATTTTTTTTTATTTTATGTTTATTTTATGTTTTTATCGTGTTATTTTGAGACATAATGAGCTATAGGAAAGCGAGATTTTACTCTACACACTCCATTTTTACATCGTCATGAAATGTAGGCACTTAGCTATTTTACAAACTTAAAATAAATTTCGTGTTTCAATAAATTGATTAAATACGAATTTATTTAACAAAGTGAGCTTAACACCTTTTCAACGGGATTTATTCTAAAATAGTTTATGTTTAAAAATGTACAGTTTATTTTTCTTTGATTTTTGCACACGTTAAACTTTCATCCTTGTGACTGCTTTTACAAAAAGAATTTTGGAAAAATGATAATATTTTGTATTTAAAAAAAAAATTTTAAATGAAGCTTCCTAGTACACTTCTCACATCTTTAAAAATGTGATTTTCGCAACAACTTTCCTTTCTTCTTGTTGATAGATTTTTGATGAAATCACATCATTTTGAA